CGGCCCCTCGCCGCGCCGCCTCGGCGCGCGTTTGCCGCCGTTCCGGCTCCGCGTTACAGCTGCAGGCTCAAGGCAGTTGCCACGTGCAATTTTTGTGCGTTAACTTTTGACTATAGGTGCCCAAAAGAGCTGAAACTTTTTGCCTAGGGGACAACTCTGCGCAATTCTATTAAATCAAGAAAATTGTGGAGTAAGAGTGAGGTACCTACAAGGATTGGCCTTCCCTGTGGGTTTCATGTTTAGAATTTGTATTTCGGCATCCTTAGCCTTTTGTCCTACACCACCGAGCAGACACAAATGACACCGGGGGAGGTTTTGCTGTGGAAGGGTTGGTTGTTCTAGACTGTTTTCCTGCAGATTTACTCCCGTGGTTTTGCCCACGTTTTCCCCTCGGCGGGGACAGCCCCTGCGCATGCCCAGGAGCCTGTCCCGTGCCACCTGCAGCCGCCACGGGGACAACGAGGGCGTCCCTCTGTCCCCGCCACCCTCCCTTGCTGCAAGCTCACGGCTGCGGAGCTGCTGAAGCGCTTGGGACGTCACGGATGTCGATGTTGGGAGTCGAGGGTTACCCGGGTTTGGCTGTCGCCCCTTTCCAAGGAACAAGGGGTAAGAAAAGCCCCAGCTCCCGCCGGGACCCCTCTCTTCCCTCGGGCTTTTCCTGGCGTTTGTCCAGACCCCGGGACCAAAGCAGCCCTCCTGCAATGGCCCTGGGCGAAGGCAGCAGGCTGAGCTCCAGCTACGTTTATAAATGGTTCTTTTCACACAATAACTGTCTAAATGGCTCTCCAGCCACGGGAATCCCCGCGCCGCTCGGGGCAGGAACGAGCGCCAGGAGCAGCCCGAAGGGCTCGGGGCCGGCGGCAGGAGCGGCCTTGCAAAGGGGGTGGCATTTGCTGGGTGTCCGTGGGCACACGGAGCGCCCGTGGGTGCCCCCGTCTGCCCGCGCTGGCCCCAAGCGGCGCCCGCACACACAAACAACCAAAAAACGAAGCCAAAGGCAGGGGGAGGTTTGGGGGCTCCTCTTTCTTTTGCCTTAGAGGCTCCCAAGGGAGCGCAGGGGTGTCACATGCCGGGGGACACACGTGTCACTTACCTCGTTTGTGCTTCCCTGGGGAGAGGCATGGGGGGAAGGAGAGGAGACAAAACACAACACAAACATCTCTGTGCATCACGACGGCCCCGGGCACCAGGAGGGCCACCCCGGCCCTGCGCCCCGGCCCCTGCCCGCCGGGACCGCCCCCCGGGGGCGCCAACCCCCATCCAGGTGCCCCCAGGCTGGGCGAGAGCCCAAATCCCCACCAGGAGGACCAGGTTGTTCGTTTGTACACCAAAAAGTAAAATTTGAAGAAAACAGAGTAACACTAAGGTGGGTTTGAGAGCGCTTCCCCCGTGATCCCTTCCCTGCAGCCCTGGGCTGGCTCACGCTGCGCCCTGGGGACAGGGCAGCAGAGGAGGCTGCAGGGCAGCAGCCCCGTCCCCGTCCCCAGGCTGCTCCACAGATACCCCCAGGAACGGCCCCGGGGGCGGCCGTGGGCTGGGGGTTTCCTTTGCTCCTTTAAACAAAAGCTCTTGGTCCTACCTGGTCCCACAACGCGGCGGCCACTTGGTCTATGACTGCGCCCAGCTCTCTGTACTCCCCAGAGTATCTGATATAGGCCCAGGTGCACAGGGTGATCAGCGTCAAGCCCATGATCATGTTGCACAGGCTGGCTATGATGTCCAGGCCGACGAAGCCCGTCACGCCGGCGATCACGTAGGTGATGAAGATGACCACGAAGAGGGTGGCAGGCGTGCGGGCGGCGTGGAAGATGTTCTTGCTGTCGTTGTGCTTGATGTACTGGATGTAGAGCTCGTCGATCTCGGCCTCCAGCTGCTGCAGGTAGCTGCTGCTG